CGTGCGCGGCTGGTCAATGTGAGACGGCTGGTCAACGCGGGATGGCCGGTCGACGTGACATGACGCGGTGCGGTCAGCATACGAGCGCGACCCGACACGCGCAAGACCACGCACCTGCTGTGGCGCAAGACGGCACCCGCACGCCGCGTAGCTCGCGCACGGACATCCCGCACCGCGCTTGCACCTTGCCGTCACAGAGGATGCGCGCTGGACACGGCGCATCAACACACTCACCCGTTGCTGGAGACGGACGCGGGCGGACTTTGCGTACGGCGCCCCTTGTGCTTCACTTGCTCGCACTCACACGCGCTCCCTCACACACCCCCGGGCGCAATCACCTCATGCAGCAAGGCGCACGACATCCGGACAGCGTATATAACAGCTTTGCCCGCGCCAACCTCAACGTGTTTAAGACCCGGCACGCTCGCACAGACGGCTACACGTAGCGCCAAGACGGCTCTTCCCAGGCGCGCGGAAATATCAATGCAACGCTGGGCCCGAGCGCGGGAATCGTCGCGATGGTACGTGGTACGCGGACGCTAATATTCGCACCCGCGCCGCTTCGCCCCCTCCCGGCCATATCGCGCGGCGGGTATCTTGACGGCGGTCCCTCAATGATCGCGCGTCCACTAAAGTGATGGCGTAAGGCCGCGTGCAACTACACACCCGACATCCCGACAGCGCAAATTAGCCTGTCCCTGCGCCAATGTCAGTCAGTGGAAGACCCGGGGTGCTCGCGCGGATGGGTCTGGTTCCCGTCAGGAGTGCTCCTCCCAGACACACAGCTATAGCAACGCCGCGCCAGACCCAAATCCGCCATACCCAGTGTGGTCGCGGGACGCGGGCAGCGATGCACACACACCCCGCCGACTCGTCTTCTCCCGGCCTCACGCGGCGGGTATCGCAGCGGCGACGTCTCAGTGATCGCGCGGACACTTGAGTTAACGGAATGTGCCACTGCAAGGACCCTGGAGCCTGGGACCTACCATCTGCAAGTCCCCGCGCTCGCGCGGCAAGGGACTGCTAGCGTCCACATCCAACACGGGCGCCACTCGCCAGATGAGTGGCGGGGGCCTGTCCAGCACCGCGTGGTATTAGGTGCCCTGCGGGCAAGGGCAGCCGGCTCTTGGCATGGTGATGCTACGGCACTGGCGGTCAGCCGCGGCGGTGCCAGAGACGGGGGCTCAGACACGTACCGTGTGCGGGTACGCAGCGCACGACGCGCGAGCAGCGTCCCCCGTGATCTACGCTCCGGGGATGCGGACAGCCAACTGTAGACCGGCCGCGGCGGCAAGCATAGGCCCTGGTGCGGGCATCGGCTGGGAGCAGAGCCCGGTCAGTACATCTCGTGCGGATCGGACGGGCGCGGCAGACGCACCACGCGAGACGGCCAGTCAATGTGGGATGGCCGGTCGACGTGACACGACGCGGTGCGGTCAGCACACGAGCACGACCCGACGCGCGCAAGACCACGCACCTGCTGTGATGCAATACGGCACCCACGGCAACCGCACGCCGCGTAGCTCACGCACAGACTTCCCGCACCGCGCTTGTGCCTTGCCATCACGGAGGATGCGCGCTGGACGCGGCGCATCAACACACTCACCCGTTGCTGGAGACGGACGGCACGGACCGCGCGCGGCTTCGTTGTCGTGTTCTGCAGTACGTGCAGCGTGCACGCGCGCGCTGGTCGCCGGCGATTCAGCGTGCGAGCGCGGTCTGACGACGTCTCCGTGCACGTCCTCTGCACTCGCACCAACTGATTATCCCGCTATGGGCGTGCGGCAGTCCTGTTCAAGCGGGAGCCCTCGCGCATGCATCCCAGTCCGAGACACACCCACTTTGGCCGCGCATTGCCTTGCGCGCTCGCCTGGCACCCCGCTCGCATCTCACCATCGCACGCACACAGGCCCCCGCTTCTCTCCCGGTCACAAAGTCCGCGCCCGGCTCCCGCGCCACCAGACGCCCATAGTCTCGACCTACACAAGAACGGCCAAGTAATACATGTCGTAAATACAATTGTACGTTTATATTATTGTTATGTTCCCACTCAACAGCCCCACGGGAAGCGACCCTATAGAACACATCAGCGCGCATGGAAATGGTTGACTGGACGGCCGGTCAGCGGGCAGCATACTGGAGAGGATGCTCATGCGGCGTCGTTGCGTACCCGTGAGCTTCGCGTCCAGTTGCGAACGCACTGGCCGCGGTAACAAATTAGTAAGAGAAGTCAGCGTGAGCGCAACGAGATGGCGTACCGGCTGCATGTAGAACCCGATGCGCGCTCGCAGCGTCAGGTGCGCCCACGCACAAGGCTAGAAAACGGCAACCTCGTCAGCACTCCATGCATCGGTGACCAAGACCGCAAGACGCGATGTACCTGGTGATATGAATTTCGTCTCTGAACGGCTGCCCTGTCCGTGTCCTTCGCAATCAAGGTGGGTCGCGGGTTCTTGGTTCTTGCGACAGGCAGACTTGACGCTGCGAGGATCAGCCGACACGACGTGAAGAGAACAACGGTAGCAAATCAGCGTACGAGCATGGTGAGGTTGCGCACCTGCTGAGGCGTGAGCCAGCATTTGCGCGCTGGTCGAGTCTGTGCGTGCCGTCAACCGTCGTGACCACCAACTGACAACTGACAACAATCACCTACATTCACACAGCACCTGCCGCCATGGCCGTACACTCCTGTCCTTGGACAATCAGCCGCCTGCGAGTGGCACGACACAGTCAACACCTCCATCTCCCGTGCGCAACGGCCGGCTGGGGCAACTCTCCTGCAAAGTCGGAGGCTCAGCGGAAGGCGATTTTGGCAAGCAAGAATCTAGACGAGGTGGGTCCCCTCCTTACGTCTTCTCCTCACGCTCCGTCCTCCGCCTCTGCCGCTGCTGTCGCACCCGCTGCCACCTAGGCTCTGCTGTCGTCAAGTCGCAGACCTGCATATGCGTGCGCTTTTCCCAAGCCCCTGTTTCCTCCGCTTCGCCATGATCGCTACGGTCCCAAGGCGGGACACCGTAATACGATCAGCGGACGCGTCTTCTCGTGTACCGGAAGGATGATGTAGAGGCAAAGTTACCAAATACAGCCTAAGGCGTGTGAATGCACTTACAGATTCTGTCATTGTTGTGAAGGGCACCATCACTGTCGACATTCTGAAAATTTGGGCCTGACAACAGTCATGATTCCAGAAAAGGAATCAAATTACGTACGAGAATAGTGTATGGGCACCACATCGGGGATCGTGCCCGCGATGTCTGGCCGAGACTATATAAGCGATGAGGACGAGGTGAGTCTCGTTCTATTCGACAGGTTCCGGCGGTCACTCAGGTTGTTTGAACAGGCATGGTGCAGCACGCAGATCGACGATCTCTGCCTTGCACCCAGCTTCCAATCCGTCTGTGAGGCGCACGTCAAAATCAACTCACCTGGAAGGCAACGGCTCGCCACAAGAGCGGCGCATATGGGCAACACAACGGGTCTCTGCGCATGCTCGCAGTACACGTCCCGGGTAGCGAGACGATCGCGACGAGACAAGACCTCGGCACAATTTCACGCGGTGCGCCCCTCGCGATCGCGGGCAACATGTCAGCGGGCGGTCACAAACACGTTGATGACGGCGTACCTGGCTGCGCAAAATGGTCTGCTTCCTGTTGGCGGACGGCGCAGAGGCCCGTGGCGGAGAGATGACCGCCCCGTCGTCATGCGGTGAGTGCGCGGCGTCTTGTTCTGCCATCTGCGGCACTGACGGGCGCTGTTTTAGACGGTTACGGCCTCTATTCGTACCGCATCACGCTGCCGCTTGGCCCGGTGTCATCAATCTGCGGCTCCTCGGTCAAATATCCGGGACCAGAGGCAAGACCCGGAGCGCGACGCGCTCACAGACCTCAACGCGGGCGATAGCGATGAGGACGCGCTGCAAACACTAGCAGCGCAGGCATCGGACAGCATGTCGACCCTGCGCGTTGCCGCGTGGCCATACATGATGCTCGCAGGCTTGCACGGCAGCGACAGCGCCGCCCTCCCCCACTGTCCAGCCCGGCCTTGAACCCCTGCACCGCGCGATCTCACGATTCCTCACCTTGCTCCACGGCGTGCCCTTGCCGTTTTGCCTGCAGCCAAGCCGAGCCATCGCTCGGGACCGCCGGCACGCGTCTGCGCGGGTGCGGACACGGTCAGCATCGCGACGGAGGCGGTGTACGCCATCGGGCGCGTGCGTGCGTGCGTGCGTGCGCGGGCGACGGGACAAGCGCCATGGACAGGCGTAGAAGACGCGGGCCATTGGAGTGACCGGCAGTGCTGGTCGTCTGCGCAGAAATTGGCCGCGGGACACTGGGCGGCGTGGCTACGGTTTCCGCTGGGTCAGCGGCGGGCTGCGTCAAGGGTGCCATAGTGAGTTCATACATACTGTTTGGGGGTTGTGCTGACCTTTGAGCGGCGGCTTTGAGGCGTAGGCGGCGGCAGAGCATCGCGCAACCTACAAAAGCATGGTAGAGCGCGCACGAGCCAGAGTGTCTTGCTGTGCGCGTTGAGCGGGTGCAATCACACGGAGGCAGTGAGCTGACCGGGCAGGGTGCGCGGGCGTGCGGGATGCTGACCGCGTTTGCAGGCAGGAGCGCGACCGCACACAATGGCAGCGCGCGGCGTTCCGCGCCCAGTGCAGCATCTTCGCCCCCGACGCGCAGCGCTGGACGCAGTCATGTCACGCTGACCGGGGGCGGCGCGTGCGCAATCGCACGGAGACGGTGCGAGGTGGCGATGTGACCGGGCGCAGCGTGCGGACATGGTGGAGAGTGGTCGTGCTGACAGGTTTTGCAGGCGCTGGAGCGAACGCGCACGCGCCGCGCTGTGCGGTCTGCGCCCTTGCCCTGTCGCGCGACACTGGACTTGGTCGTGTTGTGCGGACCGGGTACAGCGCGTGCTTCTGCGCGACGCGCCAGCGACTTGGCGCGGAGCGTGGTGACGGGGCTGTAGCGACGATCGCGCGCGCAAGACGGGCTGTGTCAGACGCGGGCTAGGTCAAGGGTGTCTCATCGCAACAGTAAGTTTGGGGCTTACCTTTTGATGTGGTTGTGCTGACCTCTGAGCGGCGATTTTGCAGGCGGCGGCAGCAACAGCAGCAGCGAACAAAGCATCGCGCGGACTTGAAGTACGGTAAGCGGCGCGCGCGGGTCAGCGTGATTGGCTGGGAGCGGGCACAAGACGTCGGGAGCGCTAGGTGCACAAGGTGGTCGCGCGGAGACGGTTCGACGCGGCGAGCTGACCGGGCGCAGCGTCTGGGCATCCGGGCATGGTAGGGAGTGGTCGCGCACGGGATGCTGACCGGTTTTGCAGGCGCGAGCGCGAACGCGCACAGCGGCAAAGGGCAGCGCTGTGCTCCCGGCTGGCATTTGTTGCAGCAGTCTGCGCCCTTGCCCCGCCGCGTGACGCGCCAGCGACTTGGCGCAGTGTGTTGACCGGGCTGTAGAGAAGAGACGCGGGCGCAAGATGGTGGCGGGACGACGGCGGCGCGGGGAAGGCGACGGGCGGGCGTGAAGAAAGTGACGGGCGGGCGTGGAGAAAGCGACGGGCGGGGGAGCGGGAACGTTAGCAGACGAGACTGTAAGGCAGGCAGCGAGACTCACCAATATATTTCGTCGTGCTGTATGCCCCTGCACTGCGCTGTATTCCCCTCACCACGCTCTATGTCCTCTCCCCTCACCGTGCTCTATGTCCCTTCGCCAGCCCTATCTCTTGATTTTCGTCCGGTCAGTTCTCTTCAGTTTCACGCTCTCGCACACTCACCTCGCTAAGCGCCCATCGACGCATCCGGCGTCAAGGCACGGCGCAACACTCGATCGCGCGGTGCGCAAGAAGCACCGAGCGATCGCGCGTCAGACGTCAAAGCGGCTCCACAGGCGTGCGCCGACGAGCGTTGCCTGGATGCGTCGAGAGCAGGACGAGCGTCGAGAGCAGCCCAAGACGGGAGCATTCGCACGCGCCAGCCATCGCGGGAGGAGTCCCAAGCCGATCGCGATCGGTGCGATCGACCGCGCACAGCCCCAGCCATGGCCGCTCTCTCCCAACGCCTGCTCGTCGACGTCCACACCCACGTCTACCTGCCCCGCTACGTCTCCTTCCTGCGCGCGCGATCTGCCGTGCCCCGCGTCTTCACCCGCACGACCCCCGACGGCGCCTCCGAGGAGCGCCTCCTCATCCTCGATGCAGAGCCCAGCGGTGGACGCCCCATGGGCCCCCAGGTATTCTTACTTGTCCTGCTGGTGTGATCCCGCGTGACCCGTCTTCTGCGCGCACAGTACTGGGACAGGGCCCTCAAGCTCGACTTCATGAAGAGACACGGAATAGACATATCCGTCGTGAGGTTGCTGCGTCCCGCCTGCGTGCCCTCATCGCGACTGACCCTCGTCGCGCCCCGCAGCTCTGCGAACCCATGGCTCGACTTCCTGTCCGCCCCCGCCGCACATGAGCTCG